TGTGGCACACTGACCTGGTTGTTTCATCTGTGCTGGGAGCTGTGACACACCTACCCAGAAGCCTCCTCCACCCTGGGAGCTGTGGCACACCGACCCAGAGGCCTCTCCATCCTGGGAGCTGTGACACGCCTACCCAGTAGCCTCCTCCAGGCTGGGAGACATAGCCTTCCAACCCGGAGGCTTCCTTCACACCGGGAGCTGTGGCATGCCTACCTGGAAGCCTCCTTCTGGCTGCAAGCACTGACCTGAAAGTCTTCTTTGGGCTGGGAGCTGTGGTATGCCTACCTGGAGGCCTCCTTCACATTGGGAGCTGTGGCATGCCTACCCGGAATCCTCCTCCTGGCTGGGAGCTATGCCATGCCGACCTGGAATTCTTCTCTGGGCTGGGAGCCATGGCATGCTAACCCGGAGGCCTCCTCTGTGCTGGAGGCTGTGGCACACCTACCCGGAAGCCTCCTCCAGGCTGGGAGCCTTAGCACACCTACCCAGAAGTCTCCTCCTGGCTGGGAGCTGTGGCATGCTGACCTGGAGGCCTCCTCTGTGCTGGGAGCTGTGGCACACCTACCCGGATGCCTGCTTCAGGCTGGGAGCTGCGGTGCGCCTACCTGGAAGCCTCCTCCTGGCTGGGAGCTATGGCACGCTGAACTGGAAGTCTCCTCCTCAATGGAGTTTTTAATCTCATGGAAATCTGTTTGCATCTGTTTTATGGATTCCATTTGTTTCCTATGTTGGGATTCCATCATGTTCCTTAGCTCCTCTATTTTTTTATCTGTGTCCTCTCTAAATTTATTAGTCATGTCTTGCACTTTGGGCACAATCTCTGCTGTTATCTGAGAAATTATTTTTGATTTCATTTTTTCCAGATCCTCTTTTCTTGCCAGTTCAGGGAATCCAGGTGGTTGAGTATCAGTTTGTTCCATCTTGTTCCCCTTTGGGTTTGCTTTAGGTGATCTGGAAGTTTGGTGTTGAGACTTGTTTATGTGTCATCTAATTTCTCCAAGGGGTGGGGGGAAGGGATGTGTTCTACTGATGCCCATGAGGCTTGCTTAGGCTCTCGGGGCAGTGCTACAGCATTCTGGAATGTTCACCTCCTCTGTGCTGGGGACAGTTCTGCTCCTTGGTGCTGGGGGCAGTGATATTCTGGCTCAGAAGGTTCATCTCCTCTATGATGGGGGCAGCTCTCACCCTGATTTCATCTTAATTGATCATCACTCTCTCTGTCTCAATCCCAGTTGTGATAGAGGAAGCTGTGAGGGAAGAACAAAGCTGGGAGGTCTTGATTAGGTCTTTATGTGGGAGAATGGAGACAGGAACTGGAGGAGCTTGAAGAGTCAAATGTGTCTCCACATCTTCAGCTCAAGGGAGGAGAAGAGTGGTGGTATCATGAAGAGAAATTGCAGGTAGGGAAGTCTTGCTTCTGGATTGTTAAATCAACCTTGAATTTCAGTGACTCTTCCCTGGCTAACTGTGGGCAAGTCTCTTAGGATCTCTGAGCTCAGTTTCTCCATCTTTCCCCTAAGCATAATCTTACCTGACTGTCATGGCTGTCAGTTTTCTGGTCAAGTGATGAGAGATGTGATGTGCTTTGTAAGGGGTAGAGCTCTGTGTGCAGGCACCCTTGTCAGTTTCGTCAGATATATTATTACTGGAGGCAGAAGTTGGAGGTACCAGCTTCTTGAATGAAATATGTTCATTCAAGGGACCTATCCTCTATTTTTATAATGGTGAGTGAGCAAAGAGTGGGGTTTTTTTTGCACTTTAATACGGTTATAAAAAACCAAAAAGAAAATATTTATGACATATGAAAAGGACATGAAATTTGTATTTCATTGTCTACAAATAAAGCTTGCTGGAACACAGCTGAACTCATTTATGTATGTACTGACTGACTGCTTTTGTACTACAGTAAGAGAACTTTTATAGGTTATACACCACACAAAACCTAAGGTAGTTACTGTTGAGCTGTATAAGAAAGATTGCTACTCTCTTCCCTTCCTTTTTTTTATTGGTTGGAGCTCCCAGAGAAGAAAGAACATTTAAAGAGATCTTGAAGGATTTTTAAATTGATTCCTTTTGTTTGATAATAAAGGTAAAATGAGGATATATTTGTCTTTTCCCTCCTTTTTGATGCTTCAAAAAAGAAATCTTTATCTGGGCATGGTGGTGCATGCCTGTAATTCCAGCCTCTCAAGAGACTAAGGAAGATAGATTGCAAGTTTGGGGCCAGCCTGGGCAATTTAGCAAACCCTGTCTGAAAAAATGAAAATTTTAAAAAAAGGCTGTATCTCAGTGGTAGAGTGCATGTCTAGCATGTGGAAGGCCTTGAGTTCAATCCCCAGTACTGGGAAAAAAAAATCTTTATTCAGTGTTGAACACTGTTATAACATTAAAAGTGAAATGTCCCCCACCAACCTCAAACCATTCTTAACAGGGCCATTCTCACATGTGTTTTTACTTTGATTAATGCTTCCTTCTAACTCTTGGCATCTATATTTCCAAATGATTGTCATCATGATCTATGTAAAATGTCATAGTTGATCTAGTCCTTTCCAGTTGGCTTTTATAAATATTGCTAGATGATTATTTTTATTATTCATAGTGGTTACATTGTCAGAATAGTACAATTCATAAGATATATATAGCATATATACAGTATAATATATATACATATATATATATATACCTTCTTGTTCTTGCCTTTGGTCAAATTCCTCCATATTCAAATGCAATTGCAAGTGTGTCTCTTTGGAGCCAGGGCTGGGCTGCCCTGCCCTGCCCTTTGCCCTCTCCTACCTTCTTCTCTGCTCTCTGACATTATGCAAGTGCAGCATTCTCACTGAGTTTAGAAACCAAGAGAGATGAGGAATGAGGCTAAAGGAAAATGTCAGAGGAAAAATGAACAAGATACTTGCAAGGTGATTTCCTGTATGTTTTCTCAGATCTCCTCCAAAAGCATTTAATAATAAATGAAAAAACACTTAACAAACAAAAATATTCTCTGCTCATCTAATAAGGATGTGAGGGAGGTTGTGTTTTCAGTTGCATTTCTGAACAAGCGGGAGTAAAAGCAAGACCATTGCTGTCATTACATTAATACTATTGACATTTTCACTGTATTTTGGACAAAAATTCCTTCAATGTATTAGATTAATACTATGAAATATAAGTAAAAGATGGCAATTTATATTTTATTCTCTGATTTTTCTAGTGAGAAGCTGGATGGAAAAACTCAAAGACAAGGTAAGAAAAGTCTTCTTTTCTTCTGGAGTTATCTTGCAGGGCATACACCTTTGGGAAACAGATGTTAAAGTAGTGGAACTTTGTTGTTCTGATTCTGCTTCTCTGTGCAAACATATAGGGCCCCTTCCAGGTGCCCAGTAAGAAAGACTTCCCCTTTAACTTCCTTTCTGTAGAACACAGGAGGCACCTTATTCTTCATAGCACCATTCATACTTACAAAGGTAAAAGAATTTATCTTGGTTGGTGTGTGCCACTGAATAATATCCTTAAGATACCGAGGTGGACTTTCTTTTAGAGAATTTCACAGTGCTATCCAGTTCTGTCTGGCATTTCTTGTCCCACTGTGAGCTAAGAAAGTAGGTATGTAGCTTATCATAGTGCTGCTTCCCACCAAGTGTTAATGAGCTGACCCATCTGGACAACCAGCGGTGGAAAAATATTTTTCTCTGGTATTAATTCTGCCTAGGTAGTGACTGACAATATTAACTTCCTCCCAGGCTCATATTTTCATTTTCTTTTGACTTTAAACCCTTTCCAGAGTTTCACTTTTGGTTAGTTCATAATTTTAAACTGGAATTACTCATAAAAATATTTGATGGAGTTAGGATTCCTTGGTGTGGCCAAGTCAGATTCCATTAGCATAACCCAGATCAGATTTAAGTGGGGTTTCAGTTAAAATGAAACCTTTTTTTTTTTTTGTTCCGGGGATTGAACTCGGGACCTTGTGCTTGCGAGGCAGGCGGCAGCACTACTGAGCTAAATCCCCGGCCCAAAATTGAAACCTTTTTAATGCTCAGATGTTGAGTTACTTCCAATTTTCCAGTTTCAGTATATTTCATTTATGATATTACATGTATTTTTCATTCTTTGGAGTCAATTTTTCCATATTTGAATTATTAATATTTAGTTATAGCTTAATGGTAAAGAATAAAAGGGAACATTCAGTTGCAAATAAAATTATGTAACTTATTTTCACTGTTATTTTTGCTGCTTCTCACTAAGACTTCTTAGCATATATGCAGTTTAGGAGGACAAGACTGTTTTGTGGTCATATACATTAAAATTGGTGTTGAAAACGTTTAGGCTGTGGAGGCAGGTGAAAACAACTCTGGTATTTATAATAGATCCATTTGTCCAAAGAGGATATGCTCAGATAGACTGAGAAAACCTTGGGTGAAGAAGACTTGTAAATTTAGAATTGCATGAATTTACATTGGTAGTCCTTCTTGTTATTTGTCAGGGGAAATCAAGATAATCTAGGAACCCAAAAGTCACTGTTTTTGTAGAAAAATATCCTTCTGAATTACCAAAAAGGACAAAAACATTTAAGAAATAAATTTTGGCATATAATTGCTCTAAAGTTTGCTGCTGCAGACTTAATTACCTGAATATTCTCATCATTCTCTTTAAAAATTTGTGCAGCTTTAGGAAAGTTAGTATGTTCTATTTCTCTAAAGCTTTCGTTCAGAAATCTGGTACCTTGTCACTGCTTCTTCTTGTTTTGAAGTTTCTCCAGCTCTTTTTTCCAATTTCTTCAGGAATATTTTTTTTAGTATGTCTTAATTTTTAAAAAATTCGGAGAAGAATGAAGTTGAGATAGCAAAGTGGTTGTCTTATTTAATGTCTACATCTTCTGATTCCTTCTTGGAGGAACACATTCTAATCTTCCCATATCCCTCCTTCATTCATGCTTGAAATAATGTATGCTCACACTGCTGTGTCTGCATTTCAAACCTAGAATGTGTATCTCTCTCTTCCTTCTTTTCTCACTCCCTTCCCTACGTATCCTCTGTAAGAATCTTGCTAGTCATCATCTTTAGAAACTACTTCCAAGTGTAACAGTTATCTCTTTGATGAAAGCCACAGAATCCCTTAGAAATGTAAACTAAGCTATGTATTAAATTGGCCTCTTCAGCCAAGCCAGTACTTTCTTTCTTTCTTTTTTTTTTTGGTACCGGGGATCGAACTTGGGTCCTTGTGCTTGCCAGGCAGGTGGCGGAACCACTGAGCTAAATCCCCAGCCCAGTACTTTCAATTTGGTTTCATTAATTGTTCCAGACAGTAGTACCTCAGTTCGCCAACTTAATTCTTCCCATGATTATTTATTTGCAGAAATCAGAATGGTGGAATGGAGTTGGCAACCAGAATCATGGAAAGAATTAACTGTGAACTTGAATTCGTGAACTGAGGCACCACTGTATTGGGTTTCTATGAATTATCCAAGCTCTAGAAAGTTCTCAGTTGTTCATTTTGTTGTTGAGTCTTTCCATACTAGTTAGGGTTAAGATTAGCTCTGAACGACAGACAACCCTCCGCGACAGTGGCTTGGGCCACTGGTTCTCATGGACTAATCTGGTGATGACAGTAAAGGACTGATGGAGAATGACAGTGACGGGCTCAGACTGCTTCTGTCTGCTGCGGCACTGCTTACAGCCTTCATTCCCAAGGTCATGCCATGGTCCTGGATGGCAGCTGCAAACACACTGTGTCCAATTCTAGTCAGAAGTAAGGAGGGGAAAGGGGAGGCTGTCACTGCTCCTTCCTCCTTGAAAGTACTGTACAAGCCAGGCACGCTGGTGCACATCGGTGAGCCCGGCACTCTGGGCGGCTGAGGCAGGAGGCTCACAAGTGGGAGCCCAGCCTGGACAGTCTAGTGACTTAGTGAGATCCTATCTCAATTTATATTTTGAAGTAAAAAAGGGGTAGGAGTGTAGTTCAGAGCAAAGGCCCTGTGTGCAATTTCTGGTACCGTAAACAAAACAAAACAAACAGAAAACAAAAAGTAAGTGCAGAATGAGGCCCTCTGTCATTCTTAAGGAGGGGAATAAATACTCTGCTGCCCTCTTCCAGACCGTGTCTTAGACTTGCATGGACCAGTAACATATCAGCTTCTTGCTGAAATTTATTACCTGGCCATGTCAAAATTCAGGGAAGGCAGGGAGCAGTGATCTTTATTATGTGCCCAGCCCAGAACCAGAAGCTTTATAGCTAGAGTAAGGGAAATGGACACTGAGGGACAGGAGAGTGACCTTCAATAACCCTAGAGCTCTTGGTTAAAAGTCCAAGTTGGTGAGGCTTGTGAGGTAGACCCTAACTTGGCTACCCAGTGATGCAGTTTCCCAATACCTAAACTGCTTCTTAAAATGGGAGGCACAGTAACAGTTTAAACTGTGTGACAAAGGCCAGCCCTTTTGTCCGGTCACCCAATGCGTCCTGCGTCCATCAAACGAATGCCTCAGGTTACACTGCATGGCAGCGGTTTGCAGTGTGCACCAGTGCAGCAGCACTGAGCTTGTTAGAAATGCAGATTCTCAGCACCTGCCTTAGCCCCCTGGGCCCAGGATCTGTGTAGCAGCAGGTCTGGCAGGGGTGCTGATGCATGCAATGGCCGGTCAGGTTGGTCTTGCAAAAGGCTGAATATCATCCACTGATGTGCATTTCTGAAAAGCTCCATCGACTGGATTTAACCTCAGTCATTATCCGTGTTTCAATATGCAGACTTGTATTGCCATGCACTGGGAATGCTAATTTTTAGAAATCCATATTTCTGGCAAGGGCAGCAAAAAATTTTTTATTTCCCAGTTTTCGTATGTGGAAAATTACACAGTTTTTATAAGCCTTAAGCGGAGCTTAGAAAAAGTTGGGGCTTCTGTGAAGCATATTATTGTGTTGAAAAATGACTGGGCTTTGTTTCTCAGGGAAAAAATACTTAGTATGCTGATGAGAAATGCCATTGTTCCCAGATTAATGGGAAAATTTCCATGTTTTGCCCTCATTTAAGACTCTTGAAGGCAGAGGGAGTAAATGAGGGAGCAGGCTGTGCACAAGAAGAGGATGCCACTTTTTTGTAAGGTCTCATCTCTTTCTCCTTTCACCTCTAGAAATGTTGGAGAAACATCACAATTTGCAAACATCAGCCTTTTTGGACAATTTTATTCTCTCTCTCTCTGTTTTTGGATCATTCTGAAAGATACAGGAAATAGTTTGAGCTCTATTAGAAATTTAAGGCAAATTAACGAATGGTCTCCCTCTTCCAAGTAATGCTCATCTAAAGTATTTATTTCAGCTGTTAAAATTTTAATTGTTCATGTATTTTGTCTGGATCAGTTTTTAGGGAGGCAAACCTGTGAAAAGCCTCTGGGTTGGTACATCCCCTCTAGCCCATTACGGGACTTAGGAGCCAGGGTGCAGGGATGGTTCTCAGTACAGTTACAGTGGCCTTGCCCCAGGCTTTGCTGGGTCCTGAGCTACTTTCTCAAGCCCAGGAATGTATGGGGCTCAAACTACTCTTTTAGGACTGAGGTATCCATAGTGACCCTCGGGAATGTTGAAGACATCACATGGGTTTGATACCTTCACACTCTTTTGGGCCAGCATGCAGGATCATTGCTGGGAGTGATCTTTGTGCCCCTTTCTATCCCTGCCTTTCTTTGGGTCTGGGGACACTCAGAATCCTCTCCTAAGTCCCAGCTTTGGTCCTGTCCGTGGGGAAGATCTTTCCATTCTTAGAAACCAGACTGTCCATTATAGGAGCACTCTTCCTGTCCTTGTCGTTTCTGCCTTTGTTCCAACCTTTAACACCTCCTCTCCTCCTTTTCTCTTTCCTCTGCAGGCCCTTTTCTTCTTGTTTTCAGCTAATCTCACCTTTACTTTCTTACCATATTGGAGGACAGAGAGAGAGAGAGAGAGAGAGAGAGAGAGAGACAGACAGACAGACACCACAGTCGAGGCCCTTCTTCTGGCCTCCAAGGAACACAGTGTTCCAGAGAAACTTCATCCCCCTTTAAGCCCCACTCAGGCCATTTCCAATTTAGAGCATTTTGATTGTCCTGGCGTTCTCAGACACTCACATTGTGAGACTGAACAACAGTTACTCCATTTTGTACTCCATTTTGTAATAGGGCCCCAACTTGTCTGCTTCTGTTACAGATCACCAGGTAGACATCGAGTTCCAGGGATGTGCTTGTTGTTGTGCCAGGAAGGTCTGTTGTGTGCATAGTGTTCCATCATGCTTGCCCAACTCCATATCTGAATATGTTATCTTAAGAGCAATCTGTAAACGTTCCTTCTGCGTTTTGCTTCTGTATTTCTGCTTGCCAACTTCCCTCTAGCGTCTCCTATGGAAGGACCTCAGGCTCTGAGCCAGGTGCCTCTCTAAGCTTGGTGCTTGGAGAGTGCCGTCTGGCTAGACTAATAAAGGTCTGTTCTACAACTTGTCCGGTGTGTTCCCTCCCGGGTGATCTTCGCTGTAGTCAGCTCCTTGGAGCTGTTTGGTAAGGCCCACGGTCTTACAACATCATCTGTCTTTTTTTGTTTGTTTGTTTTTAAATTTTTTTTTCATCTGTCTTTAATACAAATTATATTTCTGGCATCAGAAACTGATGTTGACAAATGTGCATATGCAAGTGTCTGGAGAGGCCACTAGATCTTGCTGATTTATTTCAGTACTTACTCTTAAGCATTTGAAATATTCCTCCAAATTGTCATACCTCTCTCACTGCTACTTTTTCCTAAGAACAGTAGCTTCTATATTCCATTATATTTTATAATAAAGTAGACAGAAGATGCAAAGCATCTGAAAACCTGCTGCTACTCCGGAGAAGCAAGGACCCCAGCCAGTCTGTTCAGCACCCTGATGCATGTTTCTTTGTCTGCAGGCTGGCTACATGTCTGGGATGCTGGTGCCTATAGGAGTGGGGATAGCTGGAGCCTTGTTCATCTTGGGAGCACTCTACAGCATTAAGGTTATGAATCGCCGAAGGAGAAATGGCTTCAAAAGGCATAAAAGAAAGGTATGGAACCAACAAGAGCAAAGCCTAACTGGTTTCAGAACATTCTTCCCTTATGCTTACCTAATTTGCTTAATAAAGCACATGAGGTTTAATGCTGCATGAACAGTATATACTGATGTGCCCAGTGGTTGGGATTAGCTGCTGTGGGCCTGAGTTGGGTGTTTGTTACTGTGCTCTTTAAAGTGGCTGTTCCCCAGCTTGGTTCTGCAAGAGAAAGAATTTAATGTTTTTCTGTTTTCTCTTTTTAACAGAGAGAATTCAGCAGCATGCAAGATCGAGTAATGCTCTTAGCCGACAGCTCTGAAGATGAATTTTGAATTGGACTTTGGTTTCATTAGGATAGTCAATGATGTTATTATTTTATTTTTATTTTGAGGCAAAACAACAACAACAACAATATCATGCCACACTGCTGCTACAAGGCTGTCAGTCCTAGTATCTGCTGGATAGTAGATTTTTCTTGTTCTGAGCAGAAAAGGCATGCTGTAAACTAAATGTAACACACGGTATTTGGTTTGCTGTAGTGAATTTCCCATCATCACGGGCTGCAGTTTATAAACACAGCACACATGTTGTTCAGTAAAAGTAGTGGGATGACGTAGAGTAAATATTTTGTAGTTTTCCATGGTTTGGATCACCTGAATTAAGCGTAATGATTGTTGCCGCCAGGCATGCTTGACTTTGAAATAGAAATTTTAACAAAGAGTAACTTCTCATAATCACACTCTATCTACTTGAAATTGTAGGCTTGTGGGCCGTGGTACATCTTGCATTTGCATTAAAATCAGCATCTACTTGGAATGAAATTTTTTTTGTCAAGAGCTCTCAGCACATTAGCATTGCTATCTGTAGATTTCTGTGTATCTCTCTATATACTTCAGTCTCCTACTTTTATTATTTTCACCTTCTGTCATATTCTCTGTCTTGGCAAGGAAAGAAGTGCACTAGAAACAATACATTAAATGACTCTTAATAATGTGCTTGCTCTCTTAAATAGAATGTATGATTATGTCCATCAGGTCTATCCATAGAGTCTTATATTTATCATGAAAAGGTATTCTTTTTGTGTGCCATCTGACTTTCGCAAGAAGAAATGAGGAAGAAATCAAGATGAGGGTGAGCAAGCTCCCAGAGCATTTATCTCTGCTGTTTGGCTCTCAGCTTGTGTGACCGCCACACGAGTAATTTAGAATATTGCTTCTCCACATCTGTTTTTCTTGTCTATGGAAGAAGTGAGCCACCATTTGTCCTTTTTTGGAATGATTAGGAAAAATGCCTTCTGTGGCAGGAGGAGGCTCAGTGGCCAGAGTCCTAGTGCACAGCAGAGCTCATGGAAAGCTAGCCTCTCTCTAGGCATCCACTCCGGGCACAGGGACTGTGCTAGATCCTGATATGTGAGTCCCTGCCTGGTACCAAGTAGGGCATTCAGGTACCCTATTCGAATCTGGGCCTTTTGGACTTGTAGTTAGTTGAGTTTTGCGATAGAGGCCTGGCTTATTTCCATGGCAAGATAAAGGTTCCTGAGACTACTGTTACTATGGAGAATTCATTGTGTTTATTATTGCCTGTGCTGCTGTGTTCAGGGAAGTCAAACAGAGCTTTCTCATAGCTATGGGGTGAGGTGGGACATATATTTCTATTTCCCATTTGACTGAAATTGGAACTGAAGAAGAGATGGGAAACGGTTATCCAAAGTTATACCAAGGGAGAAACAATATAGATCTCCCTGGGATATAAAACCACATTCCCTGTCTTCAGTTCAGGGCTTTTTCTGGGTATCTGGAGGAAGCAGTGACATTTCAGAGTCCTTCTTTAAAATCAAAGTTCTAAAGAAGTAGCTGCTTGGTGAAGGAGCATTTGATAGGAGCTTCTGCCTTTGTTAAATGGTGAATGATGCTGCACTAATTTCTCTCTTATACATAAACTAAACCATCACCTGTAGGGAACCAATAGGGAAAACTTCCTACAACCCATTCTTGAGTGATGGCTGGATCACAAGAATGTTTTCATTAAGTAATTTTAACTCTTTTTGCCCAGAGAAGCATGCAAGCGTGTGCAAAATTGATAGACAAATGAAAATCTCTGTACTTAGTGGTTGGCAAATAAGCTCAAGGTCAGATTTTAAACATGGAATTCAGAACCAGGACACTCATAAGTGGTGTGTAATTTCATGAGTAGAGACACCTTGATATTACACAGGGGACTCTTTCATTGTCTAAGAGCAACCTTTGGCTGTAAGTACTCCTCCAGTCGGGAGGAAGTGGGAGCCAGGTGCCATTACTGTCTGCATTCTTGACAAGCTGTGTGCAGAGAACAAACAATAAGTGCAAAAATCTGGCAAACCGGGAGAGATGCTGATAGCCCTGATGCTTGGAATGGACCTTCTGTAGCCTTCACTAGGTCAGGGCTAGTAGCTCGACTCTGCACTCTGTAGTATAATAAAGTCACAAATAACAGGCACGTTTTCATTCCTCCAGCGAGCTGTGGGGAGGGCACATCTTGGATTTAGGGCTGAGCAGAAATGTCTCTGCACCCTTTCAGGGGACACGTGTCTGTTAAAGGGAAAGAGTGTACTTAGATCATAGTAGGTTTCTGTACAAACCCATTTAAACATCTGGATGAAGAAAAGGTTCTGTGCACATAAATTAGACTGTCATTCAGTCTTAGGAAATCTTGTCATTGTGACAGTAGGTGTGAGGTTAGAGGACAGGATGCTAGGAAGCTAATCACACAAAGATGAGTGCTGCAGGGTTCCAATCCTCTGAGGTATCTAATAAAATAAACTCATAGAAAGAGGTAAAATGGGCCAGGGATGTAGCTCAGCGGCAATAGCGCCTGCCTGGTCCTGAGTTTGATCCCCGGTACCAAGAAAAAAAGAAAGAGCTTAAAATGCAGGTTGCCAGGAACAGAAGTGAGTGTATGTGTGTGTGTGTGTGTGCGTGTGTGTTGGTGGGGAGTGGGAAGGAATGGGTCAATTGGTCTAAAGTTACAATTTTGCAAGATGAATTCTAGAGGTCTGCTGTACAACATAGCACCTATAGTTAACAACATTGTATTGTGAGCTTAAGAGGCCAGATCTCTTGCTGTGTTGTTAGAAAGAAAGAAAGATAAAAGGAGAAAGAAAGAAGGAAGCAGGGTGAGGGGAAGGAAAAAAAGACAAAGCCAAGCAAGACCTTGTGGGAAGAGGCCCTTTCCCTGGTCCTGATATCCAGTGAATCACACCTGCCATAGTGGAGAAAGGAAAATGAAAGAAAGGTGGAAGCTATTAGAAAGGAATGGAAGGCTGGGATGGAGAGAAAGGGTTTCTTCTATGCCCTGATGTCCTTTTCTATGATCAGAAGACAATGTTTTCCTTTTAAGTCTTTTAAAGTTATTCTCTTCTGTAAACTGCTTCTTTAAGAAGCTGCTAGCTTAATTTATACGCAGCATTTGGAGTTAATTAGGATCCCAGGGTAGCAGATTCCCTTAGTAATGCCTCAGCCTTGGCTGAAGTTCATCAACTGTCTCACTGCAGTTTTCCAGAAATGCTTTCTTAAATTACCTGGATCTTGTATCTTGCTCAAAAACGTTGTGAGGAAATGTTTAAAGCAAAGTTTCAGAGTACCTTTGAAGTGGTTTTAGTATAGTCAAACAAAGCTGGCTCTTCATTGCATGATTTTATTTTATTAACTTTTTGTGGTGCTGGGATAGAGCCCAAGGTCTCATGCCTGCTGGACAATTGCTCTACCACTGAGCTAGACTCCCAGCTTTCATTTCATCAGTTTTTAAAGCTAAAACTTAAAAGTCAAAATATGAAGATGAAAATAATATGGAGCAGTGTAAAGCATTCTGAAAGCCCAATGCTCGCCTCTCTCTGTCTCTCCTTCCTGTGCAAGCCCAAATGAAACACCTCATTTAGAATTACAGCCATAACTCAGGGAGGAAGAATCAAATCACCCACAGGCATTGTGATTTCTGTGCATATGAATAATCAATGTTCCTACCAGCTGCCAAAAAGCAGCATTGGAAAACAAGATATATTATTGGGTGTGAGTTTATAGCCATGTGGCTTTTAAAAAGACAGGCTTTGTTATGACCTCAGAGAAATCTGTAAAGGCAGGATTACAGTTGAAGAAAGCAAGCTGTCCTTTTTCCGTTATGTGAAGGATGGTAATAAAGAAAGAAATACGGGTAGATGAAGATGGAAGGAAAACAATAATACAAGACAAATGTAAAAATGGCCCAAAACCTAAGAACAGTTGATGGTGAACCTTTTAGAGCTTTCAGTGATGATAAACAGCCCAGCGTGGGACATGTGTCATAGGTTTGCCACCACTGCCCTAGAATGTGCTACAGGAGGCCAAATTCTGAATGATCATACTTAAAAATGTTATAAAGATAAGCAAAGAGGAGAATGCAGTAAGCAAGATCATTAGCAAGTAAAGGCACCATAAAGCTACAAAAATCTATTTGCTTCCATCTTTTCCACCAAAGAAAATTACCCTGCAATAAATAGGTGGAATGAATATACATAGTTGGGAAGGAATTGAAGCCCAGGATGAATGAGGAGATGAAAGGTGCGTGCTTACTTTAAATGAGCTGAGACACACTTAAACATCTTCCGTAATTACACAGACTTCTAATGACTGAATGTAAACGTCTAGGAATGGGAAATAATTCGAAAACAAAATGATGGGATTGACTTAATAAAAGTCCCATATTTGTACATTTAGTTCCCTCATAAGACAAACATCTCCTTTTTGGGGTAGCTGTTAGGCTCATAAGCTGGATATGGGCTAAGAGACATCTAATTATGTTAACTCTAGTAATTATAAACCTTGGCAGTCAACATGGCTGGAAAAATAATTCTGTTGCTTAATTTCTACGTGGAGAGAAAAAAGTCTGCATTTATTTTGTAAGCCACTGTGATATAAATGCAATGGGAATATCCTGTTTGGAGTAATAAGTATGTCTAACTTCCTATTAATTAACCTGTTTCTATTATGTGCTTACAGGATAAAGAGAAACACGAAAGGAAGGAAGGAAATGGGGGGTGGTTCTTCTAGGAAATGACAACAAAATCATCCTTATTTCCTTTTTCATGTAAGAGATAAAGGAGGAAAAGTTCAAAATAGTCTTGTAATTGAACCAATAAAATTCCAAAGGTCTGGGACTACAGGTGTAGCTCACTGGTAGAGTGTAGAGTGGTAGAGTGTTTGCCTAGCATGCATTAGGTCTGAGTTTGATCCCCAGCACCACAAAAAGTTCAAAACAACAATAACAACACCCAGAGGTCTGAGTCCAGGGGATCTGAGGATGGCTGGAGATTCTATCTTTGTTAAACCTTGAGCCGGTCAACATATTGTTTCTTTCTGAATCAGTATTAATTGAATACCTTTGATGTGTTGGACAGTGTGTGAGGTGTAGGAGACCAAGAATAGCAAGATACATACAGTCCATGACCAGAAAGAATTTAGAGAGCCATAAGGGGGAGAGTAAATGCATAATTTTATCCCAGCGTTGCTATGAGATCCATAAAAGCAATATCCGTTCTTACAAGAAGACTGGGAATGTTTATCCAGAGCAGGTAACGTCAAATGTGAGGCTGGGCAGGGTGAGTATGGGTTAGTGAGGTACAGGAAACAATGGGATGCATGTTCTAGCAGTGAGCCATGTCAAAAAGAGGGGTTAGTTAAGCACTGTGGGGTGCTGGTTCTGCTCGGGCATGAGGATGGGGCACTGGGGGATGTGTGGTGTGAAGTGGACTGATTCTGAAGTCTTCCAGATCATGCCAAGGAAGTGGGACTTTATTCTGAGGCCAGTTAGAAATCATGAGTGTCATGCTGAGAAGTGATATGATCAGGCTAGAGGCCATAGGAAGACTGAAATGGGAAGGTTGGTGTTAGGAGTTAGGGACACCAGTCAAGGTCAAGACTGGCAAAACAATGCAGGTGAGAGATGACCGTTTTCCGACCAAGGTGCAGGAGAGAATTATGGGGGTGGGGGTGGATCCTGGAGGTGTCCAGGAGGAGATGGTGAATGGTAGGACTTGGGGACTGGTTAGATGTGGGGACAATGGAAAAGGAAACCAGGGTCACGGGCTGACTGAGGGCCCTCAGATATCATGGAAGCCAGTGTCCCACCTCATGAAGGTACTGGCTATTATTCCAGCAGGTCCAGGCCTAAGAAAAACAACAATTCTGCCAAAAATGTATCAGTGGCTTTAACTTTCTACAAAGTTTATAAGCATGTGCTCATTCTGTTACTTTCAATAGTAGGTGCCAAGAAATAACTTTAATAGAAGTTAAACATCTGAAAAAACCTCCAAATATCTCCAGTTACTTTGGTTGAATCCTAGCTTTGAGTGACTATCTAGGATCCGATTGGTTTGTAAAGATCAGTACGAGACTTTCATATTATTTGGCATGAAAGCCAAGGGTCAGTATATTGTTTTGCTTGAAAACAAATCCCAGAAGCTCCTTCTCACGGCAGTCTGTGGGAGTATGAGGTCAGGTTTGGAGGTGTGGCCAGAGTGTCCAGGCCCCAGGTCCCAGAGCTGTGTGGATTCTGGGGCTTTTGACAGTTGTCATGGACAACCATCAAGTAGCTTATCTCCCTTAGCATATGAAAAATAAGTCAAATTTTGCATGGTTGCCATATCAACATCAGCACAGGGCTGGTTCTGGAGGCCCTCAGTGACGACAGCATGGAATTGAAGAAAAGCAGGAAAGCATTAGAAATAAATATCACCTCAATTCCACTCCCAGAGATAACCAGCGTTAACAATTTCAGCTATATTTTTCTAATTTTTTCTGTGTATTTATGATGTTTTATATGCTTAATTTTACACAAAATCTGGATCATAGTTTACATGCTATTTTGTTACCTCTCTGTTGCTACTATTTCTCATGATTGTCTTAAAAGGAATAAATAAAAGGAAAAGCTTGTGAAAATGTTGTGGTTGTATTTGAATAAACAAGCTGTGTTTCATCATTAGATTTTTTAAAGCATTTGATGGTCTATGACTGTTCACTTCCATCAAGATGCTTCCATATGATATAAATGAAAACACAGTTAAAAGGAGAAATCTTCATAACTGGAACATCCATTGGGAAATGACATCTTCCTGTGCCCTGAGGGGTTAGAGGACACTTTACTATCTTTGCATTTGCCCTCAAAGCAGATATTTAAAGTTTTAAAAATGAAACAGGCTGAATTACCACAAGGGTAGGGGATACTTAGCATTGTGAGAAATATTGGGAAGACAGGTACTTCACTGTGGTGATCTAAATTAATTAAACTTGCTTGGATCAACTCTCTTAAATCTAATTGGTATTTTTGTGTCATTTATTATTTTTGGTTGCACATATTTTCTTTTTTTTCTTAATTTTGTTAGTACATTTTAGGTGTACAATATAATGACATTCATCATTGGAAATTTGCACCTTTACATAATCTCTCTTGGTTCTTATTTTTTCCCCAT